CAATGCTTTTTAGGATCTGTGTGAGCCAACAGAAGTCAGATAACACAATTTAATTTTATTACATTAACTATATCAAAACTATAGCTGTCTATACCTAATATCAACTTGGAAACAACTGCACACCCACACCAGTTTTACTGAGACTATTTCCTGCATACAAACTCCATGGATCTGTAACACATGTTAAGTCCTGCAGAGAACACATATATCTATACTGACTGTATACAAGCACTATGTTTGAGGAGGAAAAAGACAAGTAATATGCAAAAAGAAACAAAGCAGCAAAGACTAGGCATTGATTTTATTTCAGCTGTAAGCCTTCAAGGCTGACCCTGTTGTTCTTCATGTGTTTTGTGTAGAACCTCACACAACAGGCCTTTACATGTCTAAATATACTCACATAAGTAGCAAAAGACACTTGTAAGTAGGCTTAAAAGCATTACCTGACCACTGCTGCTGAGATATCTCACACCAGTATTTCCTTACGGAAAGAATATCCTTGAGGAGCACACTGCTGCAGTCAGCCCCATAAACTGCACAACTTGTTGCATCTCTCAGGATTTTCAGGACGTAATTTAGAAGTTCCTGACATCTCAGTTTGGGTCCTCCTGTGTGAAAAAAACAAAGTGAACCCTGCAATTAATGCTAAGTTTGTATAACAGATCTGAAACTAATAGCTTGCAAAACGAATATTTTCATGTTCATTTAGAAAGAAAAATAAAAATGCAGTCCAGAAGCAGTCTTCTAAGAATTAAATTACTTATAAAAATAGAAAGAACACATCAGTTATACACAAAGCAAATAAAGAAAAAGGAACTGTCACATAAGCATAACAAAATAAGTAATATAAAAGAGCAATTAGCATAAAAATATTTAATTCAAGTAAAAAAAATACTTAAAAGATTAAAAAATTATTTAACAGCCACAAGTGGGCAAGAGTAACCCCTTTGCTTCAGCACAAAAATTGAGATTTGAAAGTAAAGCACCAAATACAAGAATCAATAATTTTATATAAATACATTACTGACTTTCATTGGCACGCCTGATGAAGTATTTGACCAAACTGCCAGTGTCTTGCATCTTTTTCTGTCTGGAAACTTGTGTTGAAACAGATACATTGGGGTTTGTCAGCGTGAGGCTCCTTATCTCTTTATGGAAATACCTCTGCAGGGCTCTTCAAAAAATACAATGGAGACATGAATCAAGAATCTGCACATTTCTGATGGAAGTAAAATAAATATTCTTTTAACTTAGAACTCAATTACTCAAAATAAGTCTCATAAGCAACTGATAAACCACAACGTGACCATTCCCTCACCTCCCTCAGACCCCCCTCCAAAACAGTGTTTTGCTCTGGACGGTGAAAGAACCTACTCAAACACTGCACCCCAGTCGAGTTGTCTTGTTTGTTTAGAATCAGAATTCCGGTCCAGCTGTAAAACTATGTCAGAGTCACGGAGCAGCTGCTTGAATTTTTTAATTGCTTCCTGAAAAATGTATTACGAAAAGAAAAAAAGTTATTAATCATTCCCTCCATCGAGAATAACACAAACCAAAGGAAACTTTATTACCCTTCGCGCTGTTGCTTTATCATTTTCAAGGTCACGGCAACAAATGAACAGATCATGTATTGTAAGACTCATGGTTCAGTTTATGGTTCGGTTTTACAGGAGAGTCATTTCTATCTGCAAACAGAAAAAAAAAATCAACCAGATAAGCCAGCTCAAAATCGCAATATATTTAATATATGCAATATATTGACATTTCCATATCAGACACCACAATCTTATTTCAGGGAAAAGCTCAATATCCTCTGGGTTGGTGTTACTGCTCACAGGATAGAAGCAGAAAGTGTCAAGAATGCAATTTATTCCCACAAGCAGCAACTGGCGACACTAACAGCCAAAGACTGCTTTATGTTTACGATGAATGAAAAAGCTGAAAGCTGAAATGTGAACGGCAATGAGATTGTCCTCAGCTCTGTATCATTTGAATCAGGCAAACAGCACTAACTAAGGCTGCAGGAAGCAGCTCAGGAGTGTATGGGATGTGCATCACACACAATCACAGAATGGTTGCGGTTGGAAGGGACCTCTGGAGATCATCTAGTCCAACCCCCTGCTCCAGCAGAGGCACCTAGACTTAAGTGAAAATATAGAAATAGCAATTTAGACCAACAAGGCAATTAAAACTTTGAAGATCTACTGTTTTAGACTATTGCCATCTCTTTTGCATCCAACTGAGATAGCACCAAGGTCATTCACACATTCCCGGAGACCACATTTTACTAGCAAATTATTTTGACTGCTCTGCAGTCCCCACGGTTACTTCGGCCGCGGCAAAGGGCGGGCTGAGGAAGGGGGCACGGGAGAGCCGGCTGGCCGGGACGGGCGGCCTCCCCGCGCAGACCCCTCTGGA